AAATACTTCTTAAAATTTAAATCAGAATACTTAGAAACCTGCTCAGAATTGTTGCTTGGCCTTGGCACAAGAAGCCAAATTGGCCTTGACTAAAGGAAAATTTGGCTATTAGGTTTTATTTCTTGCTTCCTGAAGAGGAAAAATTCAGCTTTAGCTCCTTGTTTCTGTTTCTTTCCTACACAAAACCAGAGTTGCAATAAACCTAAAACGCAAAAGCTAGAAAAAGTGACCTAAATTTGTTTAATCTGAACGAATGACATTTTTTTCACTTATTTTTACTTATTAATAAGACTGCAGGATGTGATTGGAAGCTGTTTCTTTATGCAGTGCTGTATGTGCTGTGCAGTCAGAAAGCAAAACCACCTGGCAAAGATTTATATGAATAAATACTGAAGCTTGGTGTGCAGCCAGGAATATGGTCATGTTTAGAAAAGCACGAGACACAAACTAAAATATGGATCTGCAACATATGTGGAAGTTTTTGTCTAAACACCCAGCAGCTTGACTCTCATTGGCTGCAACTTATGCATGGTGGCACGTTCCACAAATCAATCAACTCTGCAGCCTAAAAAGGGCTTAATGGGAAAAGATAGGAACATTTAAAGTGTGTGTGTGGGGGGGGGGGGGTCTGCATTTTTGGTTCTGGGGCCCCATGTGACTCTTTGGTCATTCTGCAGCTGCTCTCAGATGTTACCAAAAATACTGTGGAAATTAACAGTATTTATATTTAGAACTTTAATAGAGAAAGCTTTTTTTTTTTTTTGTCCAATTTTATGCAAATTTGTGAGCAATGTTTCAGTGACAGAATTATATTGATAATGCAAGGAGTAAAACACATTAGTTTATGCTGCTTGCTTGTTAGCCTGTCAGCCACTTCATTAATCCAACTCTCAGCCATAAAGTATGACTGTTCTCAGAAATCCACCAGAAAATCAAACCATTTGAACACATTTTAAGCAAGATGCTGAGGAAAAAAGTAGGATGCTGCTTTATACCGGTACCATAGATTATTATAAAATACTGCAAAAAAAACCTTCCATCCATCATCTATCCGTCCGTCCGTCCATCCATCCATTCATCATCTTAACCTGCATCTTCCTTTTCAGGTTGTGGGGGTCACTGGTGTCCATATCCTGCAGTGAAACCAAAACATTATACAGGAAAATAAATATTGGCCAATATTTTTGAATTCTTAAGTATTAAAAATAAATGTATACTTTTGATTGGAAAAATTATTAAATTATTACATAAAACCCAACATTTTTCAGTCAGGTCATCTGGACATTTTCTTTTGTTTTTGTGCTGAAATGTTTCGCCTTCGATCCAGAAGGCTTCATCAGTCAAGGAAACACACAACAAAACTGATTCTTCCCCCAACAGCTTACTCCAAAGTGGAACAAACCAGTTCTGCTTGTGATAAGATGGCCTCTTTGATACGTCCCCTCCTCCATTGCCGGCCCTCTTCCTTGTTGACAGTCTTGTGACAAGAAACAGTCCAGATGACCTGACTGAAAAATGTTGGATTGTATACCTGGATTATTATGGACTTTGTTGTTACATAAAACGTTTCTGCATTCATTTAACAAAAGTGAGTTACAATTAAAATCTCCAACAAATGGTTAAATTTTTATGTTTACAAAAAATCCATTAGGATCCTAAAATATGGTTTATTATTTTATAGTGGGGCCCTGTGATGGACTTGTGACTCGTCCAGGGTGTACCCCGCCCCTCGCACAGTGATTGCTGGACATGGGCACCAGTGACCCCCGTGACCCAAAATGGAACAAGCTGGTAAAAAGATAATGGATGGATTTCAAAGTGGTATACTTGTTGATTTAAGAACTATAGATAGGAATCACTTGTTATAGTTCAGTGTTTGAGTCAAAATAATTAATACGGAGGAGGATGACTCCTCCAGTGTCACCCCTGAAGAGAGAACAGCTGAAAGAAGAAGAGGTTTAAACTAATAAAATGGAAGTGCAGAACAAATAAACAACACTTCACAAGAGTTTGGTCTTCGTTTTTGTTGTAACCCATGAAAATACCAATAAATACCTACGGTTTATTATAAATATACATTTTATAATATAAACGGTACACTTAAAGAGTGGTGTTATCTTAAGTTCAATCATCAAGTTTGTTTTGTGGCTCTGGACAGATTTTATTCAGTGGGAGGAAGAGAAAAATTATTATTATTGTTTTTTTGTTTGTTTTTGAAGGATGCAGACCACTGCTGTAGAGGGAACATCATTTTCAACTAATTTCTGACACATGATAAAAATGACAATAAGTTTATTGTGAAGCACAAAACATTAAACAAAAACTTAAAAAGCCTTATCACAGATGAAGTCTGCAACACCAACGAAGTTGTCGAGGTCATTAAAAGCCTCAGAGCTCAACTTTGGAAAGTAGGAAACCTACCTGGCGTAGCACAGTTCAGCATGGCACAGTATGGCAGGCGCCATCAAGTCTCCATCAGTCCTGAGCTCCACACAATCAGGCCACGAGAGCGAAACCTTCCCCAGGTTACCATAGCAACCCAAGGCAGAGCCTTCATGGGACAAAGGCGGGCAGGTCCCGGTGTGTGTGCGTGATTGAGAGAGAGTGACTGATGTGCGGCGGAGCAGGCGCGGCCCTCCTGGGGCCCTCATTCGTTTGTCTCTCGCTGAGACCACAGGAGCCCCGCTGCAGCCGAGATGGAGGTGGTGGTGGATGGAGTGAGGGGGGAGGAGGGCAAACCAAAGAACGGTAACTGATGTCGAAAGAAAGAAAGGATGATAAGATGCAAGAAAGGTGTACATCGAGAGGAAAAACTGAGACTTTGAAAAGAATGGCATGAATATGGCTGGATTTGGAGCTTTTGAAGCCTTTTGTTCAGTCACTCATCTAACAATCACTAGTACCTCTGAGCAAAGCGAGCATTCTTGACTAAACCTACACTGAAAAAATAAAATAAAATAAAGCACTACGCTTTGGCAAATTAATTGCACCAATTAGTAGGGTACTCAAAATTCAAAAATTTTAATAACCTGTCTACCACATAGCAAGCTCAAATGGCTTGAAACGACTCTGCTTCACAGATTGGAATTACATGACAAGTGCACTTAGGCATTACAGAACGCACAGAACATGAAAGAATTAGGCATGCATCTCATAAATATTGTCCTGAGCATCAAATGTCTCTGAATGCTTCTAAGAGACACGGAATAAATTTCATGCCTGGACTAAAGTTTTCCTTGAACTTTAGACTAACATTATTTGAATCTTTATTTAATTTTTATATGAACAGTATTACATACGTACACACCCTCACCTGTTGCCCGAGAGACTCCGAGTACACAGTTTTTCTTTACGTCACCATCACTGTAATCAGCATCACTTGCAGCAGAACTCAGCACACAGGAAACAAGAATAATCCACACATAAAATAAAATGAATGAGTTTGGCTTCTGGAACAAACAACAGATCTGTATACTGTATTTTATAGAAGGACAAGAGTTCATAATGATTATTTAGATTCTGCTGCTTATTTTAATGTTTGAAGTGGAACAAATGGTTTTTCTACTAGATCCTCATTTTGGTATGAGCAGAACTTTATTGTAGCACTTCATTTTATTTTTCTATAAGGTCAGTTGGAAGTGGTGTCCATCTTGAATTGAGTTGGCTGTAAAGCATAATCATGAGTAGAGGTATATTCATTAATTTGCTGAAAGTTTAATTAAAATCATTCCAGTCAATAATGAGATATTTGGCTAACAGATTCAGTTGCCTTCAAAAGGATAATGGCCATTTTAAAACAACGGTCTTGCACAACTCATTAGCACTCAAAGTATCAGCTGCATATGAGTCTCAGCTACTACCACACTAAATTGTTGTTCAATATCTATAAAATCAGGTGTGTTCTGGCTATTTTGTAACAAGGTTTGGGTTTTAGGATTTGTTCAAGATGCTGGACAACAAGAATAGTTAAAAAGGTTATTGTAATGCAGCTGCTCTTGGAGGTCAGAATTCAGTGGTGGGACCAATCTGCAGAGGTATGACAGTTAGTGGACTGAATATTTCTGTGAGCGAGATGGTGAACAGAAAGACAGTCACTAACCTTCTCAAGCAGGAGAGGTGGGGCCACCTGTAGGAGATGGGCAAAATGACGTTACCACCACTGGGTGAGGTGCAGCTGCAGGGCATAGCTGAGGTGAGCATCGTCAGGGGTAATCCAAAAACGGGGTCCAGGAGTACAGGTCAGGGTCATACACGAGAGGTCAGAGATCCAGATACAAATCCGTAGGGCAATCCGTGAGTTGTAGTCATTGAGCCAGAAGTAGTAGTGTGTAACGAGATCATAAAGACAAAACAAGAGCAGGCAGGGAGAAGACATATCGGGGTTTCCAAAAGGCAGGCGTGAAGTTGAGATGAGAAGATCAAACAAGGCTGTGCACAGAATGCTGGACAACTACTTCCGTGAGGGTTTTGATAATCTGGCAGAGTAGAGTGGTGAGAGGAGTCCTTAAATCCAGACCAGCATAGGTGCGATGAATCAGTGCTGATGAGGCTGCGGGTGAAGCGTGGGCATGGCATAGTGACAGAGAGACAGAAAATGACATGGAGGGGCAGAAACATGGCAATTTTATGTTTTTTAAGTTCAACTTGCTGGGGCAGCCATCTTGAATCAGTTTGATTCCATGATTGAGAATCACTTTCTGCAAATTCTATTAAATTTGGCTGCAATTAAATATTTTGGTTACACACACACGCATACACGCACGCACGCACGCACACACACACACACACACACAGTGAGAGAGAGAGAGAGAGAGAGAGAGAGAGAGAGAGAGAGAGAGAGAGAGAGAGAGAGAGAGAGAGAGAGAGATTGGTAAAAGCAGTGTCTCTCTGCAGCAATAATCCGTGGTTATTCACAGTCTTTTTTTTGTCAGATTGAACTAAATCCATTGTAACAAGTTTAATGTTTTCTTGTATTTTTTTTTTTTTTTTACTGTTTTAAGGTGTTGATTACACAAACAAGGACCTAAAGAAAAACTTTGTGAGTAAAGTCCAAATCTCTTGTGTTTGTCGTAGATTGTCAGCATAAAGTTGCATCTGTTGTTCGATAACACAAGCATATTTACAATTTATCAGCCACTAAATCATGCATCAAACCTTTTCCTGTCTCCCTTTAGTTTTGTAAAACCTGGTAAAATACAAGTTTCCTTGAGATTTAAAGCTGTTAGGCTGGTGTTACTCTGGATAACCATTAAGCATAGTCCTGGCTGTTTCGGTTGCTCCAGCCTCATTTTTTATTATCCTATAGGTAGTTGCAAGGCAGACTTGTACTTTGTGGAAGCAGATTGTCTGGCATGGATAAGCCTAGCTGCAGCAAGAGAGATACATAATTGCTCTTGTACAGTGTGCTGCCAAGACATCCTCCTCCTCACGTTATGCCTATATACACTGGCAAGTCATTCAGCTCTGCTCACTTTTATGAGGCACACTCACAAACCACACAGACTGAGGCGTCTCCTCAGTGACAGTGAATGCCGTCAGTCAGAGGAAATATGTTGACAGACTAATTCAAGTGCTCGTATCAAGAGTTTTCCTAGGGATTCCTTTATTTCCTGTCATGTCACGCTGGTGTTTTGTGTCAAGAGATGTGTTGTCCTACACTCTGCTTCATTTGTTTTCTGTCTGGCTTCCACAGGAGGCTCTCGCCAGTTTTGACCTGCGTGCCTCACATGGTCTGTCTCATGATCCCACGCCTGTCAGAGACGAGAACAGGTACTGTCTGTGACCCTGGTGCTGGTTTCTCCGGAGTTTCAGTCAGTTTACCAAGTTATTAGAACCTATATAAAATCATAAACCTGCTGGATGTGTTAGTCTAAAGTGAGAATCAATGGTTACTTGCACAAATAAAGACTTGACATTTGTATAATATTGGCACATTATTCTTTATGGACTAATCACAATTAATCTGTTTATATGTATTATAAAATTACTCCACAGGAAATGCTTAAAAAAAATATAGAAAAAGCAAATGTGAATCCTTTACGTTGCCGTATTAATACATAGTATTTACACCTAATTTGAAATAGTACTTATCTAAAATAAGTCAGATATCAAGCTAGGAAACATGAAATTTTATGCACTGTGTGAGCTTGAAACCATCGTAAAGCTTTACTTTTACTGATTGTCACTTCTTAGTATCTTAGTGTGTACCAGTCAGGATGTGCTGTATGTAATTATTGGTTCTGGTGTAATTACCATGTGTGATCAGGTCAGAACATCAGATAAAGAAGAAAACTAATCCCCGATTATTTATTTTCTGTATGCTCAAAAGATTTCAAGAGAACAAATTATCTTGGCAATTTTGACAATAAAACAAAAGATTTATCCTCAGACATCTCGCAAGGCAAGGTGAAAAATAAAGCTGTCATTAAAAAAAATCTAGATTATTTTGCCTTCATTCTCACCAAGAGAGTTGAAATTACATATAGCCTACATGGTATAGCAAACCATGGATTGAAAATGTTTTAACTCTATAACATACGGCAATGTAAAGTGATTGAGACTCTAGGAAGTCAATATCAAACACTTGAAGCTCAAAACACAGATGAGTTAAACATATTTAAACTAGAAAATGAATGTTTAAGAAAGTCTAACAAAGAAGTTCAAATGTTGAAATAAGAAAACAAACAACTTCACCAGCTGATAGAGAAAAATAAAATCCTTAAACAAAAGCAATGACAAAATTGCACATCTTCAAAATGAAATGGAGAAATAAAACTCAAGCGAAACCATCTTTGGACCTCCAGGATGGAAAAAAAGCTGATCTGCTGACCACAGTGGACCACAGTCCAACCACAAAGCAAAATCTAATGGCAAACTGAGACCTACATTCAATGAACTGCATAGTTTTGCAAAGGTCTACCTGAAGCTTGACCTTGATAGTAATGATCATGTTCAAATTTATCTCCAAGACTTGGATTATTTTTTAAACCTTTTCCAGACTTCACGTTGTCTGACAAGATCTATGTGATCATCCTCACCTCCAACAGAGAGATGTGTGGCTTTATTTGACGCCAAACAAAGTTAATCCGAAATGACTACTCCCTCCTCTGCAAGGCATTGGAGAAGGAATACCCATACCGAGCAGGTTCATCTGGTTTAATACATGCCCTAGATGTCAAACAATGTCAATAAGAAAATCCTTGGATTTACTGTGACTGTCTCCTTCATGCATTTTTAGGAACACAAAATGAGGTGGGAATGGAAGAAAATAAATATTTCAAAGAACTGTTTGTTCATAATCTCCACTCTACATCAAACATCTCCTTGGATGCAGATCTAAATCTTAGTATATTCAAGTTGAGAGAAATGACCTGCAGAGCTTTTGAACTTTGCAGATTGAAGAGCTACAACACATGGAATCCAAACATGTGTTTACACTAGATGCAAACCCTCATTCTTCAGAGTTGATGGGTCCACCAAGTCAATGTGCTGGAGCACCTGTGACAAATCCTGATACAGGCTATGCAAAAGCCCAAAGATCAAAGAAGACAAAGTCCGTTCACAAAATGGAACTGCGAAACTCCAATATGGTAATTTGTAAAAGTAAGTAGTCACCCTATCTCAACAGTTGGTATGGGACCCACAAGAACCCTAGAGACTACAGAGACTACTGATCCTGTGATGAGCACACATGCCGCGACAAACCACAGTATCCTTTCAAACGTAGAATATCTGGACCTCTATGAACTGTGAGTTTGAATCGATCAAGTACAGTTTAGACTGATCCATATGGATCCAGAATATGACACCTCGACTGAAGAAAACCCTAAGATTCAAGATAAAACTCCTACCAGAGCTTTTCTATCCTATCTTACTGAAAAAGGTGCTGCATAGAAATTCTACATGCCTCTGAATATAGAAGATGTGATGATGTACGATGCGCTTCTTGACATCGGCTCTGGCTTAACACTCGTCCACTGATCTGTTTGAATTCTTACGTTATGCTGCAGAATTTGCAAAGAAAGAAATGGAAGTTCAACCTTGCAACATGAAGATTTGTCTGTACCCTACAGTTGACACAATTTTGTTGTCAGTGACACAAATACAGATCTCTACCTTTAATAGACCCCTCTTCTTTTTGTGAAAGATTTTCTTGACTGGCTTACACCTTTAGTCTGTTTTCAAACCCTAAACATATGGGCACAGGTAGACAAACCTTTGCTAATTTTGTTATCTTAATAGTTCCATCCATATTGTTACATGCCGGAGGACGCATAGAATTCAAGCAGAAGTAAGTCCAAAGACCAAACAGGTTTGGTCAGACCTTTTTGGTCTGAAACAGACCATCTTAAAGATGCTCCCTCCAAAACTGTGGTAATGAACACCCAGCCAAAGCAACCATTGTCAGGTCAGTCAGGTTTATTGGAACCATTGGACCTGACTCAACCTCGTTAGAACGATTGGAATACTTTCTACCTGAACACAACACTCTTTGTCCTCTGGACCCATCATCCACCAAGTCCATGATATTCTTCTCAAACACAACCGTTGACCCCAATAGGTCCAATTAAAAGCACTGATAAAGCAAAGAGTTTCATGATCATAATCAAAGTATCTGATCATACAGAACCAAAACACAGGGTCATTTCCATTGACACTGTGTTTCCTGATGAAGATCTTGTCAGTTTTTTATCTTTTGATACATTGATCAACAAAATCATTCTTTTTCTCTCTGATCCTGTCAAAAACGAGTGTCTACGTCAGTCCTTGATGATATTCCGGAGTTACATGCTCTCTATAAAGTTTGTTCCTCCCTTACGATGATCAAGGGTATTCTAATGTATTTTTCCTACTTTATCACTTTACATGTGTTCACGATTCCACACAAACACAGTGGGATGAGGTTGGATAATGCCCATGACCTTCTCTCTGCAAGACACAAAGGTACTGAAGCAACATTCATCATTTTAAAACAGGTCGCCCACTGACCTGGAATGCCTAAATTCCAAATCCAGAATCTGTTTACATCAGTGTGGAGTCATAACATCTCAACTCAAAAACACTTCGGAGAGCTGATAGTTCAAATAAAGTTTCTTTATGTGGCACGGTCAGTTTGTCTGTTTTCCCCGTTCTGATGTGTTTGTTTGATGTCCAACTCATTTATTCCTGAGCAAAGAAAACAACAAGTTTGCTCAGTAACAATTTTTGTTAGAAGCAGAGCTCCAGTAATTAAAGAAGATACATTTCAGTTCAATTCAATTCATTTTATTTATAAAGCACTAAGTCACAACAGAAGTCTCAGGGCACTGTACAGAAACATTCACATACATTATAAAATACAATTGGTAAAAGTTATATATCAAAGGAAGCCATCAGATTGCGTTGAATCTTCACTTTGTCACAGTCTCTTATCCTGAGCAAGCACAAAGGCAACAGTGGAAAGAACAAACTGCCTTTCATTAGGAAGAACCTCCAGCAGAACCAGGCTCAGGACGAACGGCCATCTGCTTCGACCAGCTGGGGTTTGAGAGGACAAGAAGGAGAAACAGATAATCATGAAATGACAAGATAAGAAAAGATAAAACGTTGTTTTTCTCACTACAAGACTCACATTTTCAGCTTAAAGTGTAAGCTGGCTGAAGGTTGCCAATGGCCTGCACATCTTCTCATCAGGTGTCATCCTCACAGTTCCCTAAAGCAGTCACAGTGACTTTCGGCTAACTTGGGTAGTACCAGGCTAGTCCTCTCCTCGTGGTGCATCCTGGTCTGATCCACAAGAACCCCAGAAAGATGAGTGAACCCAGCCCTCAAAACTGACCTGGTGACAATGAAACTTTGGGTCTGGTTATATGATTTTATCTGATACAACTTGATAAATCATTTCCCGGCTTGCTGTGATAACAAATGACTTGATCTGGTCACATTAAAGAACATCTCTCAACCAAAATCCAAAGCAAACTATCAAATACCTAAACTACTGTATGTCTGAACTGGTGTGTGTATAAAAGACAAAATAATTCCTGCTCAAATAATAAATTTTGCCTCAGATAAAATAGAATTTATCCTTCACTGATTAATTATGGTTTAGATAGTTCATTAATGTTTAATTAATTTACTTTTCCAGTCTACTTGTGCTCCAAATTGTTATCCTTTAGCGTGTGTTTTGTTGAATGTTGTTTATTGTTGTTGTGGATTCTTATTTTGATTAACTATTTTTGTAATAAAACTTTATAGAAAAATTTGGTCTCCTCATCTGGATGAATATTCATGTTATGGTATAGAATTCCCTGTAATCAACAGATTCTACTTGAGTGACTGAGCTCTGATGAAGATATTAATTAAGTTGTTGTTGGTCAGTAAGCTGACCAGCTGGTGCCCCACTTTAATGAGTGCAAAACCAGTAAATAAGTGTAGTAAAGTGACAAGCAAAGTCTCCCTTCTTACTCCATTTACTCATATATGCTACAGTGACTAACATCTTACCCCCCACCCCTCTCTGTTTCAGTCATGGTACACATTGTGCAGGGGAAGTCGCTATGGAGGCCAACAACTCTTACTGTGGTGTGGGCATCGCCTTCAATGCCAGAATTGGAGGTGAGGAAAACAACACAGCCTCAAGAGACAATAAGAGGCAGTTCATTGAGGGTGCACTGCTTGAGCCGACAGTATGACATGGTAGCAAAATATTAATATTGCTTAAACGTATAGTTTCCTGAAATGATTGTGGTGATGGAAGATTAATCTATGGTGGCCAAGACCAACGCCTGGCTCTGCTTTTGTGCATGATGGAGAAGATTTCTCCCTCAGGCTGCCAGGATCCGTCACTCTGCGCCCCCTCAGACAACCAAAAAAATATATATATATATCTATAAAATAACTCTATCTAACACAGTTAAGCCAGGTCCTCTGGATGGATTTTAGTTTTAAATCAGAGGACCTGACTTAACCGTTTTAGAATTTTCTACCTGGATTTTTAAGCATGCATCAGGACAAAAAACAACCTACCTCTTTTCTTATACATTGTAACTCCTTCCCACTTGAATCTCTTGCACCAAACACATTAAGGTTTATTTTATTTCCCTGTTCAAATCTAGTCCAGATTCAGAAAATACACTTGTCTCATAAACTAGAAACTTTCACTTTTCAAACCTCTAAGTGAGGGTGTGTGTGTGTGTGTGGGGGGGGGGGGGGGTTGCATTGATGTACTGCTTGTTCATTATTGTGAAACAAACAAAAAATAAGACACATGGACAAAATAAAAGAATGTCATTGACTATTTAACACCAAACTTTGTATCACTACCTTTTGCAGGAGTTGCAGCAACAAGAGTCTTTATGTCCTGATGTTGCTCAATAATCCAGGTAGATCAATCTAACAAGTTTGAGTCAGGTCCTCTGGACAGATTGTTCTCTTTATGTCAAACTTAATCAGTGATGGCATAGTATTTCTTGACTTTAGTATCATAACGAAATACTTGCTTTATATAAAACATATTGTCTTTCTTGACGTCACTAAACAAATACTATTTTTACAAACAAAAAAAGTATTTCTTCAATTTGTTAAACGTAAATACTTTTTTGAATTAAAAAATATAATAAAGAGAGTCTTTCAAAGTCAAAATCAAAAGTTCTTTTACTCGCTCCCTACCTGCATCTCCTAACCATCAGCGAAGGACTTCTTTGTCGTCCAGCACACCGACAAAATGAGTCTGGATATCCTGAAAAATATAATTGATATATTTTGATATGTCTACAAAGCCTACTGTTTATTATGTAATTAAATTACTTGAAAACCGTGCCTAATGTGAGATCAATATTATTTAATGTTGTTTTAGGATTCTTATTGACATTTGTATTTGTTTTAATCTTTTTTGCGATGATAATGAATATACTGTACAATGTACAAAAATAGTGTGATGTAAGAAACTTTAACTAGCTTACAGATATAACATGCCTGCACTATAGTATCTGGAAGGCCTGCAGTCATCCTGGAGAGTGGATCAGGCTCTTCTGCATCAGAACTTCATGTGTGGTTAGTAAAGTCCCATAAGGACAGTCACCTTGTTATGCCCATATAGCTTCTGTTACTGGCATTAGCAGTCCAAATATTCGTGGTAGTTGACACAAAGTTGACATCATTCAGTGCAGCCTTTAGATTTCTCTCCATCTCTGTCCCAGCTCTCTGCTTCCAACCACCTGGCGGGGCTTCCTCCGTCAGTTTGACTGTCCGTGCTGCGACTCGAAGCTAGACAGCACTTTCTCGCCAGCACAGAGGGAACAACAAACCTTGATATTGTCATCCTTTGCTGACAGAAACTCAAAATAGTTCCTGTATTTCCAGCTACAGAATGCGTGTGTTCCTCCTCGCTCCACTGTTTACGTTTCTGTCGCGGCGTGGTGTCAGGTATCACAGGTGATGATAACGTGACCGAACTGTCGCATAGACCTGACGTCTCTCCCCAAGACATTTTTTATGTTGACACTCCACCAGACGCATAGAGGAAATAAATTTAATTACTAGAGAAAATGGCAAAAAATAGTAACGCACAGTAATTTGGATAAGTAACTTTAATCTGATTGCTGAATTTTGAAATAGCAACGCGTTAGATTACTAGTTACTGAAAAAAGTGGTCCGACGTCAGTAACGTGTTACTGACATCACTGGTCTTAATTATTCCACTGAAAGTTTTGTCCATTCTTCATAACCAAACTGCTTCTTCAGGTTGGATGGGTGCTGCTTGTGTGCAGTAACCAGAGATTACTAGTTGAGTTAGGATCTGGGCTTTGACTGGACCATTCCAAGACATTTACTCATTTCTCTTTAAATTAACTGAGGTGTGTTTGGGGTCATTGTCCTGCTGAGAGGTAAACCTCCATTCTGGTCTCTAATATTTGGAAGAATCATTATTAATAAATGTCTTTTTTTCTGCACCTCTTCCTTAAAAATAAAGCTCTGTGCAGCCTATAGATCAGCCCATATCTGCAGTAGAGCTGCCCTTGGCTTCTTGGATGTTTTTGTGATTACTGCCCTCCTTACCTGCATTGTGAGTTTTGGTGGCCAACCTCGTACTGACATGTTTGCTGTGATGTCTTCATTTTTTATTATCTAATTCTGTGTTTTATTATGTTTTGAAGGATATTTAGGGTTTTGTACAAAGTTTTAGAGTCCAAACCGTTCTGTTCTGAAGTGTTCCTTGGTCTTCATGATATCTCTTGCTTGGTGGCAGCCCTTATTCGAGGTGTGGCACAGGTTCAGATCATTTGACAAGTAGATGACCCACAAGTGTCTTTATTTAACTAATATTTTGGTTTTAGAAGCTTTGGGAGTTAATGGTTGTGGTTTCAAAGCAAAGAGGGTGAGCACAAAGGCACACACAACTTTTCAATTTTATACAAGTATGAAATAAAAAAAAAATTTTTTTTTTAAATTTAAATGCATTCATCTGTACAGTATTTTCTGTTATTCCATTACTTACAGTTAAACTAAAATTAATTTAAATGAGAAAAGCCAAGGAGGTGAATATTTTGCATACCCCCCACTATATTTTCACTAATATTCTCATTAAATACAAATAATTTTGTTACAAGTCATTTAGTCATTACAAACGAAGTTACATAAAAATATGACATTGTGTTTAATTTTAATAGAAATCATTGCTTGCTGTAAACAAGAGTATTCTAAGGTGTTGCACATATATAACAGTATGCTATCAGAAATATTTGCACAAAAGATTTGGGAAAGTTTAGAGGCTTCATTATGTGAACATAAAAAACTTGTGATTGTAAATGAGAAATAAATGTTGTTTTTTCATGCACTCTGTGTCTGAATGTGGCGTATGGGTTGTGTGAATACACCATTTTGACCAGCTGCTTCTGAGCAATGCTGACCTCATTTAACATCAATTTTATTCAGTAAAGCTCGAGTAATGGCCTTTTTGTGCTGGCTAAAACATCAATGAATGATCTGAATACACAAGCCAAAGCTTGGATTTGAGCAGTTTTTACGGTTGTGTACCAAGAATGCTATATGTGGAGGAAATGATTGTTTCAGCTCAGATCTTTCACCTCAGACCAAATTTATTGCAGTCATGCCACGAGCAGGAAACAGAGAAAATGAGAGAAATCTCTTGGTTGAACTTTGACCTATAAACTCTGCTCTGAGGTCTTTTATCCCTGACCCTAATCATTTATCACAGAAAGCATGGAGCACAATTGACAACAAAAAAGGGGGAGAAACTCCTCATGAGGCGACAGCAGGCATCTTATTCCACAGTTAGTCCTAATTTTAGCTTGTTGGCTCATAAACAAGGTTTGGTGCAGAGGAGAGGAAGAGGTGAGACCTTCATGAAAGATGCATGCTGAACTGCAGAGTTGTGCAACAGTTCAACTGTTTACTTTTGTTTCTAAAGTTAGATACAAATCATAGTGAAATAAGTTTGATCCAACTATAGCACTTTAAAAATGTGATGAGTTGCAATGGAGGTATGAACAATTAGCTCTCAGATTATGTCATGTTTTCCAAGGTTAAGATGGTTTATATACAATAAAGGACTTTAAAAACTAAAATAAATAGTTATTTAAGCTAACTTTTATCTAACAAGCCAATCATAAAGATAATTAATAAATGATGCATCACAGTGTCATGAGGCCTAGGTCCTGGAGCTCATCTTGTGTGTTCAGCTGGACTCCTGTTCTGACTGTGTCAACAAGACACACAAAAAGGACTAAACTTTGAGAATGATATCATATTTTCATACATTGAACAAAAGTAGTGAGACAATCATAACAGCGCTGCCAGGAAGAAAAAAAAGAAAAATGTCTCCTACTTGTTGTGAAATCCACAGCCATCTTTTTGTGTGCTGACTCCTCACAGGCAGCAGTTACGTCTGTATCTAAGGTCTACTTGGATGGATGCTGTGCATGAGGAAGAATAATTCTAGTTTTATTTTAGAGCACTAAACTGTTGCAAAAACACTACCAGATTCATATCTAATGGTTGCTGAATGATTACTGTTAAACGCTCTAAGTTCTTTGCAATCCTAAAATAAGTTATTAATAAGAGATTGTATGGAATTAAAATTTTCTCTAAAATTATGCGGGTATGTTTATACCTGCTGAGGTTTTATATCATTTGTATTTAAGAGATTAAAAGTCAAAGTCTCTGGTTTTGTGGCTGCTGTGAACCCTTTTCTGTACTATTTCTAAATTCAATTTTTGTTTATGCAAATGGAATATGTTTAAGATAAAAAAGTTTTCAAAATTAACTTCAGAAGTAACTTTTTTCATCCCTTTTCTCTTTTAGCACCTAGTAATTAAAGGTAGGGTAAGGTTACACACAAGATTAAAGATATTAAATGGAAAAAGCATGCAATAAAATTAATGATTAAATCACATCTGCTGCAGTTTTACAGCACCAAGTGTTTCTGAAAACCCCCTTTCCTGCAGATTTCACCGATACAAGTGACTGTAGGCGATCGCTGGTTGTGTGGAAATAGAGTTTCATACAAATATTCCTGCAGCCAAAATGCAAAAGGTGAAGATGGAAAATGTTTTGGCCTGTCTCGCATTTGTCTGTTATCCAAATATTTAATAAACCACTGGACACATTTTATGTATTCTTTATGAAATTACCCTTGGATGTACATCTACAACTAACTTTTAAAGGCAATCCAATTAAAGATGGCCACCACAGCTAATTTATCTGACAAAAATGTCTTTGTTTCAGTCAATTTTACTAATACAGTAGTCCCTCACTACTTTGCGGTTCGTTTATCGTGGACTCGCTCTATCGAAGATTTTCAAAATAATATTGGACATGACACACAATTGGGTGATTGACGGATGAGCTGCAAAATCGTCATGGAATTTTTATTTAAAACAAATTATTTTAAATTATTTAACACCTGCTGCACATTTGTGCAGTTCAGAGCTGCAGACAAAGCATCCTCCTTCAGCTTTGTGCAGCCCACGCTGCAGGATAAACTTCCTGCTGCAGCTGATCAGCTGTTCTCGGTGCAGAGTGGAGAACTGGGCGTGGCCAAGAGCACTTGCAGGTAGCAAAGAGCAGATGAGGCAGGGAGCTGAAATCATGACATTCTGTGCTCATTTAGAGCGTTTAGAGTTTAGAAACATTGTTTAGAATATTGCAAGAGTGTGGGAAGGGTTTAAAACAGACCCTTTCCAAAAAATTAGAACATCATGGAAAAGTTGTTAAACTTCCATAATAACATTCAAAAAGTTAATCTTTAATAGATGATAGATTCAGGGCCCACAATTTAAACAAATTCAAGTATTTATTTGTTTATTTTTGCATAATTTGTGCTTCCAGCTCATGAGACCAACGAAAACAGAATTTCAAAAAGTTAGAATACTGTGGAGAAATCAGCCCAAATGTTGCAGGACATGAATGTTTTAAACTGAGTGTGACACTAATCATCTACTAATGAAATGAGAAATGATCCTGCACTTAATACACTTATAAATCACACATAAAGTGAGTAAAAGTACATTTGAAATACAGGTGCTGGTCATAAAATTAGGATATTGTGAAAAAGTTGATTTATTTCAGTAATTCCATTCAAAGAGTGAAACTTGTATTCGTTACACACAGACTGATATATTTCAAATGTTTATTTCTTTTAATGTTGATGTTTATAACTGACAATTAAACAACTGACAAATCAGCGACCTCAATTTATCCTGAAGTGAACGCCCTTTACCTGCAGAGCTGCAGCAGTTTTGCATTATGAACACTTTGCAGTCATTTCAATTATGAGTTTATATCTTTTGTTTAATTTTAATCTAGTGTAATAAACCTTTGTAAAATACACCAGAATGCAGGAAATGGCATCTTAATCAAAATTCTCTGGGGTAGGACCCTCAGACTCCTCCCGAAAATATAGTCTGACATTAAGCTGGTCCGTGGCACAATAAAAGTTGGGGACCACTGTTTTAGAGGACTTCAAGATTCCTTCTGCGGAGGATTTGTATGGAGATGCAGATTTCATCTTCCAGCAGGACCTGACTCCTGTCCATGCCACCAGAAGCACCAAAACCTGGTTTGATGCCCATGTCACTGTGCTTGACTGGCAGGCCAACTCGCCGGACCTAAACCCCACTGAGAATCTATGGGATATTCTCAAGAGGAAAATGAGGGGCACCAGACCCAACAACAGAGAAGAGCTGACAGCAAGCATCAAGGAAGTCTGGGCTTCCATAACTCCCAGGCAATGCCACAGACTGATAAGCAACTTTTCCATGATTCAAATTTTTTGGAAAGTGTCTCTATGAATGTATGTAGGTATATATGTATATGTATACTTATATACCCCATATATATATATATATATATGGGGTATATAAGTATACATATATACTAAAACAAACTACTAATTAGTACTTGTACTACTATTCCCACTTCGCGGTTTTTCACTGATTGCGGGTCTTCGGGGTATGGATCCCTCGCATGAGGGACTACTGTATTGTGCTAAAATGCGGTGCAATTGAGAATCATTCACAACAAATACACTGAGCACACTTTTGTAAGTCTGATATTAGCCTCAAACCTTAGAATTCATTCAACCTTTATTTAGACAGGTAAATCCCATTGAGCCTCGAGGACTCATTTACAAGAGAGACCTGATTTCAACAAAGAATGATGACAACAATGGACAACAGCAACAACAATAAACAAATATAAAAAGTCATACATTTTTTTCATTCATTTTTAAAGTCAATTCTGTGTGTCTGTTAGCAAAATATCTCCTGAAATAATTTTAGTGAAACGCTCCAAAATGAACAACTGAATGGACATCCACAACTGATTAACTTTTAAAATAGTTTAATTCAAGATGACTGCCAGAGCTAATCAACATTACCCAGCACATATTCCTGTAACCGTCAGTTTTATAGATGTCAAGATAAAATTTGAAGTGGTAGCTGAATCATTTACAACACATTCTCTGAGTCTTACACCTGCGATAGTGTATAAGATTCATGGACATTAGAACAATAACCATCCATCAAGTAAATGTAGAATGTTTTTTAAACAATATAAAATTGAAACATTTTGATTTGCTGTTTCCACCAGCCTCAATCTAAACCCTGATCCCTGTAGCCTGTGCGATTTCTTTAGGTATCCGCCTGCTGGATGGTAACATCACTGATGCCATGGAGGCCACAGCCCTGACCTACAACATGCACTTCATCCACATCTACGTGTGCAGTTGGGGCCCGCGAGACAACGGGGCAGAAATGGACGGACCACACACCCTGACAGCCCAAGCCCTACAGCTAGGAGCTCAAAAGGCAAAGCTTTCTATTTCAAATTCCTCCCTGCTAGCTGTCATATTTAAAGCTGACATCACACTATGAGGAGAGCTTAGACTGGTTGGACAAAACATGGAAGTTTTTTTTTTTATACAAATATGTTTTACAGCAAAAGTTTGGTCCTACTTCATTGCCAATTTACAAAGAACAATTTCAGGGTAAGTAGTGAAAAACAAAAGCTGAGATTTGAATTACTAAAATGTTCAAATATAAGCTTTTGTTTTTCACTACTTACCCTGATTTGTATAAAAAAAAAAACTTCCATGTTTTGTCC